CAATGTGAATTCTGAGCGCAGGTTCGTGTTAAAGCAAGGCCAACTGTATTTGAAATTATTTGAAATAGGGATTTCCACAATATATCGGCTGAGCCATAAATACTAATTTTTTGTCTAATGTTGCAGCACCCACGACTCCTTTATTCATCATCAGTGTTGGTGACTGTGCCGCTGGTTGGGAGCGGGAAATCATCATCTAGGCCGAGACTAAAAAATGCAAAGATGAAAGTAAAATAAATGAACGATTCAGCAGGTCTTACGTACCATGGGAATAAATAATATGCGAAGCATGCATTAAAAATGTGCTGTGCGGTACTTTTACAAAGAATATGACGTTACAAGGCAGATTGACTCAGTAAACGTATGTAGAATTTTATACAGATTCACTTGTCTAAAAAACAGGCTAATGGGAGAACTATTTGTTCCTAAATTCGTAGCGATATGACATCACTTACGTGCGCACTACCAACACCAGCAATGATAGGCTGATACGCTGTTCTTGTTTTAGTTGGTGAGGTGCGTTACGCAAAGCGTAATTTTGAAGCGTATGCTGATTTTTTTCTTTCTTTTTTGCTTTGAGACACTTGTTACGAGGCGGATTGACGTTAGGTAGAGTGCTGCTTTCGTTTGCGTTTGTTGGCCTATTCTTGAAACATAATGCATGGTTGCGCTTAAAACACGGACGAGGAAGAGAAGTGAACAGGACGGCGTCCAGTGTGTATCTCTTCCTTGTCCATGTTTTCTTAAGCGCAGCCATTCAATGTGTATAATTATAGTTGTGCGCACATCCACGGCATGACTGGAATGTCCGCTACACTGGCACCTCTTGGTGACCACAAAGGGTAGCTTTTGGTCTCACATGACGTCAGCGCTCACGTTAGAGCACAGATGTCTGTGTTATTCTGGAACGGTGAATTGGACGCCCACAGTGGGTAATTTCCTTCTGGCACGGTTGAAGCATGCACCGAGAACTAAAGCTAAACCGGCAGTTGAGAAGGCGGTTCCGCCGCCGTGATCTTGTGGCTAAGGTGCTCGGCTGCTGATCTGCAGGTCGCGTGATCGAATCCCAGCGTCGGCGGCTGGCTGCATTTTCAATAGAAAGGAAAATGCTGTAGGCCCCTGTGCTCAGATTTGGGTACAGGTTCATTGATTGATTGATATGTGGGGTTTAACGTCCCACAACCACTATATGATTATGAGAGACGCCGTAGTGGAGGGCTCCGGAAATTTCGACCGCCTGGGGTTCTTTAACGTGCACCCAAATCTGAGCACACGGGCCTACAACGTTTCCGCCTCCATCGGAAACGCAGCCGCCGCAGCCGGGATTCGATCCTGCGACGTGCGGGTAAGCAGCTGAGTACCTTAGCCACTAGACCACCGCGGCGGGGCTGGGTACACGTTAAAGAACCCCGAGTGGTCGAAATTTCCGGAGTCTTCCACTAAGGCGTCTCTCATAATCATATGGTGGTTTTGGGACGTTAAACCCCACATATCAATCAGTTGAGAAGGCGATGTGCACGAGGCCTGATTACACTATCATGATCTGCGCCTGAAGACGGTTTGTTTGGTCCCAGATGAGATGATATTTTTATTACAACCAATGACACCGACATTGGAATTTCAGCAGAACCAGCCTTTCAACGCTCTCACGTTAATATGAAATTCTATTGCGCTTCTTGTAGCGTTAGCTAGACATTTTCCGAAGGAGACTATAAACACTCAGGTGATGCTTACAAAGAGAAACAACTTTCATTTATTCATTCATACTGTTAGCCTTCATGAGGGCCGTTACTGGGTGGAAGGTACAAGTATGTATCAGGCAAAATTACCTAAAATCTCTAAGGTATCCTTGCAGTGTTCAATGCAAACAGCAGGGAAAATATACAAAATGTAAAGAAATGTCAAGGGCACCCAAAAGAGTACAAATGAAGAGCAGAATAAAGTGCACCATATTAAAAAAAATATAGACAGCATTACGAGACAGTTTAAAGCATTATAGCAAAATAAAAGCTATATGTAGCCACGAAGTTATGATTGGAAAAGCAGTTTAAGATTTTCTTCAAATGACGTCAGCGATGAACACCTGATAGTGAATTCAGGTAACATATTTCATTCTTCGATAGCACAGGGGGAAGTAACTAAACTTAAAGCAGTCATTACGAGAAGCAAGGGGCGTGATGTACACACTGTGGCGATGTCTTGAATGTTCCTGCGTGCTAAGCTGAAAGAAAGTTGTGTGGGTTAGTTTGAACTTATTCTGAATTAGCTGGAAGAGGAACTTATTAGAAATGATGTTTTTTGTGTGGTTATGCGTGCTTCAGAAAGGTTTTATGATGATGACGGTCATGATCATCGTAAGTCTGCCTACGTCTATACTGCAGGGCAAATTCCGCTGTTCTGCCAATAAACCCGGTCCTGTGCTTGCTACTGCATTGTTGTACCCGCAGACTTCTTAATTTCAGTTGCTCACCTAGATTTCTCTCTTCCTCTTGCGTGTTGGTGTTCTCTTGTAATACACTCAGTTAGCCTCAATGACCGTTGGTCATTGAGACTAACTGACTGTATGGTACGCGGCTGATACGTGACTAGCCCATGTCCTTTTCTTGTTCTGGATTTCAATGATGACGTCAATTCAACTACAATATTCTTTCAGGATACGATTTCCCAAAGAGAGGATTATAAACGTCTCCTTAATCTTCTAAGAGTATAGTATTCGTTTTTGTGGTTGAGAAAGTGAATAACAACAAAAACAAGCCAGTCGTACTCACTATCATGAGTGATGAGTGATTGGAACGCGTTCTGACAGCGTCACAATAAAGTTATAAATACAATTTATTAGTATTGCATTCGGAGACATAACCAAGCTCTCGTATCATGATAAATATCTTATTCAATAAATACCGGGCCATACCGAATACAACAACATGCAATAAATGTAGCGAAGATTTGAGCAGAAAAACACGCGTTCAAGGAAATAAATAAAAAAAACACAGCCTGTAAAGTGGTGGGCATTTCAAACGCACAGGCTAGATAATGGCGCACTACCAGGTATGCCCAAGGATAAGACTTAACAAAAAAGAAAACGCTCGCGAAAATCTATACGAGCAATCTCCGTAGTGTCTTCAGACGGCAGGCAGCAGTGGGCACGCACCCAAGGTTTCAGTCTTATTGGGGGTAAACAGAGCGGAATAGGCAGGGGGACGAGTTGATCTTGGTGCAAGCGGCTATGGGAGCGCGCGCGTCCTGTTCCAGCTATATTGGGTCCGAGAAGAGCGCCCATCGAGCCCCCATTGCTTGCCCGGCCCACTTGTCTCTCCTCGTCCCAGCTTTGTTGTCTTCCATTACTGGAGCGCGCTGGGTGGCCACGCTTTATGGCAGAACCCTCATGGGCGGGCTTTCCTTGGCGAACGTGATTGGTGGCGTTCCATTTGAGGGTTAAACCCACTCTCGGTCCACAATAAGCGCCCCAAATAGCATCTAATATATAACGTATCGCTCGAAGCGCTGTTCGTGCGTCCGTGAAGCGCTGTTCGTATAGCGTCCGTGAAGCGCTGTTCGTGCCGTCGCTTGTCGCGCAAGAACGACGGCCACTTAAAATTGCTCCCCATAGGCAGTGATCGCGAAAGCGCAAACGGCCATCGCCATGGAGACATTTCACCATGCTAATCCCCACTCTGCGTTGAGCCGAACGTTAAATGCACGGTTGCTAAAACGACCCCCATATTTCTATTTTTCGACTGAACAATAAGAGCACATATACAAAAAAGAAACAGAACTGACAATGCGGCAGTAAGAACAGGATCACCATTTCTTAACAAACAGTGTCGGTGCTTAGAAGAGCATATATTTGTGGAGTTGCCTTCAGCGCGCCTGTTTATTATAATATTTCGAAAAGGAACACCAAATAAATAATGATAACACCATTTATTAAACTTAACGAAGTATAAAAAAACACAGAAACTTTTGCAGATGACAAATTTTATTGTGTGAGAACTATAACTATAACAAGGCTCCCTCCTTATGCAGAATGTTTATTAGTTTGGTTTGCTTCTTGTAGTGGTAAAAGGCCACATTTTCGCCGTGACATGTATCCACTAATCTTGAATATTCGAATTACAGCTTCCTTTTTTCGCCAATGACGCTCGATATTTGCATGCAGTGCACCATGATGCAAAGTGTCCATAGGCATCAAAGAAAGAGGTGAATAAATGCATGGCTGTCATGCAGTCCCCGTTTTTGTTTTGTTTCGGGGGCTACGATGAATAATGACATTAAGAGCGGTGCTATACAATTTTTTCAAGAGGTTAATGAATGTACTAGTTGTTATACAAATGCAGGCCTCGTTTACTGTTTAGGGCGAACTGGGTGAGTGATCTGACTTAGACATGCGTGTCTCGAAGCGTTTGAAGTTGTGCAATGCCTTGCGTGCCCTCCGTACATTATTATTAAACAACATGCCAGAGGCAGCACCATGCGGCGGTATGAAAGTCTCGCGGAGAAGCATTAATAAAGCAAAGTGGAGTATAGTTGAACGTCCTGCTTTCACAAGTAGGCAACACAATCTGGTTGAGTGGCTTATCGCTGAGGTGCACTAGGATCAACTGCTGTCGAAGTTACTATAGTGAAAAGCGCTCTAATGACTTATAGCGTGAGGAATGAAGATATTGCGCGTAGAAATGGCTGAGAAAATTGGAGCTTGCATCCTTGCGTCAACAATAAAAGCTGTCTATGAAAAACGAATGCGATATATTGTCATGTATATGGGCTTCTAGGCGATTTAACGGGATTATGACACATGACAAGTTTTGTAAAGCTGTAAAGGAAACACGTATAAATATTTCGCAACAACAAAGTCAGTTCATAATATCATCAAAACCACTATGCTCTCCAGGTACTGCGAATAAATATGCAATGCGTGCAGATCCACACGCTGTGCATATTTGTCAAATAATTAGATGATACAATTTACACGTTTGACAAAATAAATGAAAGCAACTTACGTTTGACTGTTAGAAAAACAAGTTTGCTGAGGTCTTCCCCAAAGCCGTTGGAAGCCTTGCAGAGGTAGTACCCCGACTCCTCAGGCTCCAACTGGTGAATTGACAGAGTGCCATTCGGAAACAAGCCGTACTTGTGACTGTTGTAAAGTGGCAGGAATTCTTCTCGAGTAGAATCTGCATCAAAAAAAAGGCAGTGGCTAATGTAAAAAAAAATTGTTGTTATAATAGGAAGTATTAGGCGTGCAGATTCTGGCCAAGTCATTGAGCAAAAATTGGTAACTTTGTAATTCACAGTGTAGCACCCCTATGTATTCTTTTTCAGGTACGCCACGTGCCAGTCACAAAATCAATCACATTTGAAATTATCTACAATGGTTTTTACTTCAGTTAGATAAAAGTTCGATCTCTGCTGTTTTCTTTTTGTCTGCAAGCTTCACGAGAAATGCATTTTTAGGGAGGGCGAGGTCATTGGTCTTTTTTTTTAATCTAGGGCTTTACGTACCGAAACCATGGTATGATTATTGTGCTCGCCGTAGTGGACGGCTTCAGAAGTTTACACCATGAGGGGTTCTTCAACGCGCATTGAGAGCTCACAATACGCGGCCATCTACCATTCCACCTCCGTCAAATTGTGACCACCGCGGCCCGTATCGGACCCGCGATTAGTTGCTGTTAATAAAAGTTGCAGCATATTATGTGATAGATCATGAAAGCTTTGCCAAGAGCGAACAACTTTACTGTAATAGGGGCAAGACACTTCACATTAGCATATAACCGTTATGGCGGCTTTTTTTTTTTTTACAGGGGACAGCCACCCACTGCATAAACTCTCAAAGCAATCTTTGTAGAAGTACTTGCCATTAAGACTGATAGCGTTCACCCGACTTCTTACCAGCTGAATTCCCAGAATCCACGATCCACCACCACACTGGAAATTCAGTTTTAAGTTTCCCCATATTGCTGTCATCTTTTTGTTGTATCGGTATGTTGAAAAAAAAAAAGGTATGCAATGCGTTTTTCTGTTCTCTACCAGCTTCTTCCTCATCTTTTAAAAGTCCGTTATAAGTGTGCTCCCACCGAGCAAAGGCCATTAGTATAGGCCCAAAACTACGTCGTTTCAATCGCCTACTTGCACACCTACGCATACGTATTTTCTGCGAGCTTCATCTTGCTGCGGGATGTTGCTTCGGAAGGTTTGGGTTAGTTTGTTAATGTAGTAGATTAGTTCTGGCAGTCTAACAATGATGAAGACGAAGCAGTGCGAAACGCAGCAGTCTGAGTTAATTGGCAGCGCTTCATAATAAAACAGCGCACTTACACGAAGACGAGAACTAAACCGACTACAAGAGCGGTGGTTTCCGCCTGGGGTTCGCGGCACCATATCCTATAGAACGTCCGCATGAACTTTCTACAGTGCGTTCCAAAGGACAAAATAAAGTTAATCCTTCCATCCATTCACCACTTATTATAGTGTGCAATTAGTATATCGAAGAAGCGATCAACTTCAAATGGACAAACGGATGAACTTCACGCGGCCATGTAGAGTTTGCGAGTGAGCAGCGATAGAAGCAATGGCCGATGTCTTCATAATTTCGTGCAAAATGAAGTGATACGCGTGGCATTAAAGTTATTTACATTGAAACTATATAGCTATTTTGGGTGCAGCTACAATTTTTCTTATAGTATTGGTGGCTATTACTGAGGCACGCTATTTTCCAAAGAGATGTGGTAATATTATGTAGCGATTGCCTTAAAACTGTTCATAACAGAACGACAGTAGTCGATCTATTAGCACACAGAAGAGCAGCGTTATTTTAGTGCTCCTGCATGTCTTATAAGATGCGACGATGTGTCCAAAGGCCAGACCCGTGGCAGTGCAGACGGCGTGACCGTGAGGTTGCATTACCGGAGGCGATCATCCATGTAATGATGGGCTGCGGCGTTCCAGATGCGCTGCACTGGAGCTGCACGTTGCGACCCTGCACCACGGCGGCACTCTCCGGCTCGACATCCCACTTTGGTGGCTCTGCCATGGGGAAAAAGAAGTAAAAAAAATCAGCTATGCTTTCGGCATCTGTTCTAAGACTACGCATGCGCTCCCTTTGAATGCGTCTTGATCACTGACACTCTTCTTGTCTCGTCGAACTTCCCCTTCTTCAAGAAGTTCATAACTTCTTCACATTTACGCATTGTTTCATTAGTGTTGGAGTAGTATTCTTTCAAAAAGTAATATCGAATAGTTGGTTAGAGGTTTAGTTTTTTATTCTCTTTTCAATGATAAAGTACTTCATCCTATTACCTAGTTTACGCAGGGTTACTTATTTACAGTTTTTATTGTTGTTTTGTCTTTTTATAGTCATTATTGCAATTTTTCGAAAAGATGCGTTTACGTCTTATGTTCATTGCAATATGGGTACACTTCACGATTGAAGGCCGCCACGAACAATGTTAGCTGCGCGTCGGAGTGCCCACAGCTTTTCAGTTAAGGCGCGTGATATGAATTGCCGCGAATAATGTCTCTGAACGAATACCTTCACATTTTGTTAGCGTGTAAAGAACCAAGGCAATACCTGGTGAAGACTGTTTTCGTCATCATAAGAGCCGTTTCTAGTAATGGGTTTTTAACCGCAATGGTTTTTGGTAGTGATTTTAACAATAAAGATTTTCAAAGTTTCAGGCAGCTGTCTGCACTCTTGAAATTTGTTAACAAAATTTCCGGAACCTATCACCTGCGTTGATTAGAAAAATGCAAACAATTACGCTTAAGATTTGCTTTCTTATGTCTAAAACCATGATCCTATGAAGCATAATCTTGCTCTCTTATGTCCGTCTGCAAAAAAAAAAAAGGGTTAATCATCATCTGCACAGGCTGTACATTGCGGTATACATCACCCAACGCCTTCAGGCATGTTCCAACTCTAACAAATTGCAAGATTGCCACTAAGATGTGCATGAATTTTGCAGACTACGGGTCTGCTTGCGTTGCTTTGAAACTTTTTGAAAAAAGGCTCACTTGACCTTAATTCTAACAAGCGCACTGCAGAAAGTTCTTTCTCTCACAAGGAGCTTTTTATTTGTCTCGTTCCTGATCCTACGTTATTTGCTTTCTCTCGACGTATTTGTTGCTATTTTCTTTTTCCGTTCGAAAACTTTCCCTGTTTTCCTGATACACCTACTGTTTTTAAAGTCCCCCCTTCCCCTCATCTTTTGAAGGTGCTTTTCTGTTTGTATTTACACAGTTCACGATCGGTCTTTATACATCCAGTTTTTCAAGAACCCGGGAACGTAACATTTGAAACTACTGTTTGCATTTAACGCTTCTCTTTGTTTGTTTGTTTGTTTTGTTTTTCATTGAAGCCCATCGTCGTCACTGTTCTGCCGTCTGGTTCGAGATAATTAACCCTAACTTAGAGACCTGCCTCTCACCTCAACACGAAAGAGTCACCCACAACGGTTTAGCAACATTTCCTTACTTTTCAGCGAGTCCACTAACTCTAACCGTCGTTTTTGTTCTTCTTTCTATCACTTAGATCCCCTTACCCCACCCTTGAACCTTGAATGAGGTGGTTGTGTGAGCATACCAAGAAAAGCAGCTGTTACAGGGACATAAGTGCCCTTGTTGAAACTTAGGTTTTAGAGCGGAAGCTATTGAACGTTGCCGTCTTTCTCCTAATTCATGGTGTTTTTTAATTTCTAAATTATTCAGACAATCTAACCTTGATTTTCGAAACTAGTGTAATCAATATAGTAAATAGGTCGTAAACCGTTGTGTTAGGTGACGCTCTAGGAAAGAACAATCCTGAAACACCAATAGAAACATTTTTGTATGCGAAGGCCACTGAAATTGTATATTGCTCTTCATCAAGACAGCTGCATATCACCGCTGCGTTAAGCGGAAACTGCCGCATGCATGTGCGCGAGGCGAACGCGCGTGCTGACTCTTCGTTACATATCAGACTGTTCTCTGGAAGAGCCAGAAACGCGAAACTCCTCGCTATTGGCCTGTTTAATATTCCTTACAAACACTCACTCGAAAACCATCATGTAGCGAAGTGCATTACCTACTCTTTTTCTGAAAGAACCCAAGAAAACACGATATGAAAAAACAGCCACAGAATCAAAGGCACTATACGTATATGACATCTCAAATAAGTGAAAATTGCGGGATGGTGCGCTTTTGTTGCTCAAGAAAACAAAAATCTGGCTGCCCTCATGTAAGGCAAACGCGCCGCAACGAGCAAGTACAGTCGGCCAAAACTTTAGCTATTGTACACAGAGACCATTTTTTTGTCTGTCAGTTCCTTACTATATACAGAACGAAGTCACGAAAAAATTGCTTCGTGGACATGTGCTCTATGGGCATACACTTGTCCTTAATTCAACTGAAACTTTCTTGTACAGTAGGAAGAAATAAAAGTGCAGGCAAAACTGCGACTCATGCACGATAGCTAAAAGTTTGGCCGACTGTACATAGACGCTCAATTCGAGTTGAAGCACAGCAAATACAGTTGAAAGGACTCCCGATCCTGTACTGTAACACCGAGAAACGTGTAATTGGTTTTAGAAATACGATGTTTGTCGGAAGAGCGTTTACGAGTCTGATTGCTTTTTATGTCGGCGCCACCGTGCTGTGATAGCGCCGCTTTGAGCACGGGCAGTATGTTGCACCTCATATTGGGCGCGACCATACATACGCTCTGGCATTAAGTGAACTCGTCGAACACCTCATGCGAGCGATTTTCGTCTGTCTTTATCAAACGTGTCCAGACTTGAGCGAAGTACCCACTACGCGTCTGTTTGACAATACTCTCCTCTATGTACGTATCTTCACATTTTACTGATGCTATGGAAGGTGATGGCCATAATGAATTATAGCTTACACCTTTGCAATGAATGAGAAGTTTCACACCCCTCACTCGCCTAACAGTTCACATTCTGTGATGCCTGGCACTATTGCACTGTTCTGTCACTCAGTATAAAGTATATTAACGTGACCTTTCACCCGACGTGACGCATGTATTAAGGCAAAAGCGTTAAAGAGCTTGTCTTGGGGAAATTCGGTGTCTATGTCGTCGTCGTTGATTGTGAACGAAAAATCGTCATATTGACAATGATAGAAAAATCAAGAAACATGCAAAAAGAATAAATAATAGAAAATTTCGGTTAAAGTGAGATTCGAACTCAGACCGTCAGCGTGTGCAAGCTGGCTTTCTACCACAGCATCAACATACTGCTTGCGACTGCTTCGAAAAAAAAAAAAAACACTATATGTTTGTCATGTAGTAGAAGGAGTTTCCTCAACGCATCATATACTGCGTCGCGAAAACGTAGGATTGCACCAGGCGTCCAAAAATGTGAATTAAGCAACAAGTGGTTGTTTTAAAGGCCCACCCATTACAAAGCTTCCAGACATATTTAGGAGAAAATCACCATCATTTGCAAAAGCATCAAAATTGTGAGCAGCGGCCTAGGTTGAAGTGTTTCCCTACAGACGCAAAGTGTGCCGTTCGCTGACGCAAAAAGAATTGTTGTAGAGAGAAGTTTCCCTTTTTCGAAGAATTTTCGCCTCTCATATTGAGCCAAAGAGAAAAAGAGAATCTTTGTGATATTGCAGGAAATTTCAGGAATGGGTAAATTCTTCTATAACGACCAATAATTAGCGGTCACAGGGGCTTTCATTTGATTTAGTTGGTTCTGGCACATGCACCACGCAAGCATAGCCTTTGAGATTTGTTTCTGATAATAATGTGGAGCGAATTTTAAATGATTGATTGATTTGTTGGGTTTAACGTCCCAAAACCACAATATGATTCTGAGAAACGCTCTAGTAGAGGGCTCCGGAAATTTCGACCACCTGGGTTTCTTTAACGTGCACTCAAATTTGAGCACACGGGCCTACAACATTTCCGCCTCCATCGGAAATGCAGCCGCCACTGCCGGGATTCAATCCCGCGACCTGCGGGTCAGCAGCCGAGTACCTAAGTCAATAGACCACCGCGGCGGGGGTTCAGTAGGCATTTTAGGATAGTTTTGAACGGCCGATGCTTGTCATTCGTTTCCTTACGGCACGGTTGTGGCCTGCGCCGAAAACCAAAGGCGCAGGCCACAAGAGAAGGCGATGTGCAAATATGGTCCCATTACGCCATCGCGTTCTACTCACGAAGGCGAACCTCAAGCGTTCTCCAAGTTTCTGGATTTTTTTTCCAAGGAATTTAAAGATTTCAAGTTCTGGCATGACCCTGTGAATTAATACCTGACTGCCACCCCGAATACCAGGGCTCAACTTCTGCTCAAACCGTGCTTTTGTTCACAGTAGAGCCGATGATTTTTGGGACGGGACGGCTCAGTTTTCGCCAGCTACTGACAAGGCTGCCGGCAAAGTCTCCAAGAACTGCCACCTAATACGGTCGTCTTTACAAAAATAGGCACCCCACTCATGAACAAAAGCTGCCTTTATTCATCTCTTTCTTGCGTGTCATCTTCCAGTATTTGCGTAACTCGCTTATCAAAAAACCGGCAAAGATGGCCGAAGTAAAGGCAAGAGATCTTCGCTGCTGTTCAGACGCACTGCGTTTATTTCACAAGCGTTGACGTGTGAAACCGTTCAATACAGGTATATTTATGACATCGGGCGAATGATGCTTAGATAGGAAAATGGGGAGAAACTTCTCTGTTAATGAACGGCTGCACTTGCTGCGTACGACCATCGGCCAATAAACAGAACACGTCAGTACCATGTTGGCTACGTTCACTGATAACGGTAAAAAAGCCACTCTTGTGGACCATATCCCTCCATTCGTAAATATGCATATGCAATGATACATCATTCGCTCTTCACAGAAAGGAAATGCTGATATTGTCTGGCTTCGCATATGCTTTTCGTCACCGGTTGATTTTACTATGCACAACAGGAAAAGAAGCAGGTCATAAGCCTATAACGTCTTTTTATAACGGGGGGGGGGGGGGGGGGGGTGCGAATCAGAGGATTCGATAAGTATGCAGGAATATTAGACACTACGACTTGTG